CTACTACTACTACTACTACTACGCCTGCTGCTACTCCTACTACAACTACTGCTACTGCCACTGCCATTGCTAGCAGGCAATGGGTCCTAAATGAGTTGTTCCTTACGTCGCAGATGGCACACGAGCATTCCCTGGTCAACTCCCGCGCCCATGGCATGGCCGGCCGATGTGCGTTCGACGGCCGATCACTCCGGGTTTGCGGGTGAGGAGCGTGATGAGCTCCAACCGGCCCCACAAACCAAAGACCTGGTTTTCTCCAAAAACCACGGTTTTGGTACATGAAAACCTCCATTTGTTCCATAGGTTTGAGGGCCTCCGGAATTGATTAGGCCTAGGCCAAAAACATGTGTGGGATTTGTTGCAAGTGTTTCTTACTTGTCGTAGGTTGATATGCATAGACCTGGAGTTATCATGGGAAGCATCGAGGCTTCGGATGTCTTTCCAAGGATTGGGCCAGCTCACTTGATGACCGCCTTGGACACCAACGGCATCTCCATCAGCGATTCCGGCTGCACGAGTTTCGGGTGTCAGGCTGTGTCGAGTCGCAGCGACCTGCACCAAGTTAACAGATGTTAACAGTGTTTGCAACCCCTGGCAAGACACGTTTCCTTGCAAGAAGGGCACCTGACCAGAAGACCAATTGGAAGAAAAACACATTGAGAGTGCTAGATGTGCTATTGTGTCGGAGCCCATTGCCTACGGCACTGGGCCAAGGTGTTTTACCGTTGGAAGACCGTGCCTCGCGCGTTGGCACCGCGCTCGCCTTGGATGCGAAGCGGGACGGCGAGAAGGAAGGCGCCGCGCTGCCGATTCGCCGGTGGCGGTGGGCATCGCGGTGCGCCGGTGATGCTGTATATAATGACTGTTGATTGAGAAAATCTTCTACCAAACTTGTAGTTTTTAGATATATTCAGATGTTTTAAATACTATTTGGGGGGCATTATTATTAATCAACGATTGTATGATTGTGATTCTTTCCACCAACTTGATTGTGTGGCACCAACTTGACTGTTTGGTAGGGAATGATCCTTGCTATGGAAGACCTAATGCTACCTTTCTTTCAGGGTGGTGTGTTCCTAGCCGCGGGCCATGTCCTGATGGTTTGACAATAGATAGTGACACAGCGGCAGCGCTTGCCTGCAAAACCCAAACGCTGCATGGAAGTAGGGTGATGGCCTTTGGTCGTATCGGCCCAGCGTGACACAGTCTATGCATCATGGTTTATGCATGTCTACGCATTTAAAGTACCAGTAGCTGGACGGTGCCAAACGGTCGATCCGGGGGGGGGCGGATGAGGATGGAGTTGGCATGCTTGGGAGGCGGCCGCCAGCGGAGCAAAAGCGTACATTTCCGAGACCAGCTGGAGGATGGCCACGAAGTGGCTGGAAAGGCCGGCCCTCGTGCTGCGCACGGTCAGCCCACACGGGTGAAAGCGCACGGGTTGGTTTGTGAGAAGGCCAAAGTGGCCAAAGCCACTGGGTGGAAAGCCTACTCTTCAGAACTTCAGAGGTTTTGTCGCGCTACCCGTATGTATACCGGGCCTTCAGCTCAAACGCACATGTTTTTGGGGAACAGATCCTGAACAGAGTTTCCCTCAGTTTAGTTTGCTATCCCTCAGGCGGACCACTGTCACTTTGTCACCAAGGTGTAGGTAGGTCCGATGCCTCCGCAAATTTGAGCATGTTCTTCCATGTCACTCAGGAGACTCAGGAGGACATGGCCAAGGACAAGGAAGAAGAGGCTGGACTTTGACACGCGCGCACACACACACTTGGGAATAACAGCTTTTTGTTCCTCTCTCTCTCTCTCTATGCGCGCAGGTGGCAACAATTAGAAGATCCAATTGATTTGTGATAGCTGCCTACAGCTCTCAGCACAGAACCCTGACAGCTCCCACCAGGCAAGACATCAAAAAAACAACGTTCTTGTGCATCTCTCTCCAAACGACGAAACAGAGTTCATTTGCTTAAAGCTTAAAGCAGAGAAACCAACGTCGTTGGGTCCATGATGGAAACCATCGTGCAGTCGTTATCCATGGCCGCCGCCCCATCTGACTGCGCCACCATCGCTCCTCCGCCATGGGACAGAGCGTGGCGAAGCTGCAGGAGGCGCTGAGGCTGAAGACGCCCGTGAAGCAGGTGGACGACGGGTCGCCGATGGTGACGATGGACGTCGGCTACAGACCGCCTAGGGTGGTGGGTTTGTCCTAGCTCGAAATTGGCGAAGAATCATTTTGGTGACACGACAAGTCACGTCAAATTAAGAGTCTGTCCAACTTACAAACTGCGGGATGTATGTGCATGCGTGTATGTGCGTGTGCGTGTGCGTGTGGGTGTGGGTGTGGGTGTTTGTCTCAGATGAGTGGCCCAATAACAAAGGCAAAAGCATTTCAGAAAGTCTAAAATGGGTTGAACCATGTTGAACCAAACAAAAGTTTATGATCGTGAAGTGGCACATTCGAAGGACGGTATCATGCAAGCCTCCCTCGTTGACCCCTGGTCTAAAACCGACAAATGGTGCAGGTGCTACTGGTGGGAGACAATGGCAGCGGCAAAACCTGCAGCCCAGCGATGACCGCAAGATTTGTCGAAGGGAATGGGGGCATTGGACTAGAGAGCCGGGTCATGTCCCAAAAACGGGGGGAAAGACATGTTTGGGAGATCATCGGATCAACCAAACCATTGCAACATCTAGTCCATGGACTTTTCCCCAGGGCCTCCCGAACCTCAGGGCTCGAGACGACGGCGAAGTCGTCCGGGTGCCATCAGATCGACACGACCGGTGGAGCTCCGAGGCTTGCTTTACGGCTTGAAGCTGGGATTTGGCTCTGTGACCACCATACCCACCATCGGCTTCAATGTGGAGACGGTGAGACATCGGCTTCAGGACGGTGAGACATCGGCAGGGGAGATGGTCGGTGGAGATATTCCGTGCGACCACGGAATCCTGGTGGGTTGAGTGTTCAAGTTGCATGACGCTTGATGAATCAATCCCTCCTATGAATCTTAAGAGGTCGTACACTCCAAATGGGGGGTTTTATTGATCAATTAAGAGATATCAAGTCTACATCAGAGTGGTCCCCACCGGCTGGTTTTCACAAGTTTTAAATCCATGAGATGCGCCATGGCCAACGACCAGCGCCGGCCCTTCAGCCGACGGAGGAGTTCACGATTTGGGATTTGGGTTTGAGGACCAAGATGCGTCCGCTGGTTCGGCACTATGAGTCTTGGCTGAGGTTTTGTGAGAGGGTTTTAGTTTTTGGAGAGCGAACCTGGGGCCCAGGTTTGTGGAGAAAAGAGGGGTGCGAGTTCTCGCCACTTGGTGCGAGTTCTCTCCACTTGTTGGGATGACCGCATGGCCTCTACTTCCACAAGATCTGTCGATCTTCGTATCTCGACATCTAGACTCGAGGTTCCACAGATGGAGATGTTGATCTACATGGTCGATGCATCGGACAGGACCATGCACAATGAAACCCGGTTGAGATATGTTGAGATCAATTGCAGTGAGTTGCTGTTTTTTGTTGTTTTCCGCGTTGGTGAATCCGGCTCAAGGGAATCTATAGGAAACAGATGGAAACAGCTTTCCAGGTTCCTGATCAGCAATCCAAGGAATTTTCGCTGGAGCTTTGGGGATATCTTCGTAATGCAATGGAAGAATATGGGAAAGATACTGTGCCTGGATTCAAGAGAAGGACCAATACTGTCAACATTGAAGGAGAGTCTTCTTAGAAGATCGTTCGATTCAAGTCATGAGCAATGGACTATAGATGCAGTACGATCTATTTATTAGTCTTCTTCTGAATCTGCCCCCCTTGTCTCCTAACACTACTTCAGATGTCTTCAGATTATGAAGCTTGCATATGCTGTAGAAGTTTAAAACATAGCTTCATGCAGCGACCCCTGACACCATAGAAAGCAGGAAGATACGGTGACTGTTCTTGGAGAAAGCATGAGTGATTGTTTTGAAACGGGGTGTCGGTATAATTGGCGTTCCTTCCTATCATGATTGTTTCAAGTTAAAGCACGAAGCTATGCCATGCTAGGAAAAGATGCGTAAGAATGCGTGCGGTGTCGTGTGATGTTGTGAAGGAACATATTGGAATTCCGCTGCAGGTGCCCTGCTTGATCTTCATCAACAAGCTGGATCAGCCCAATGGCATGAACATAGCTGAGATTGCTGAGGGCCTCAACCTCTCAGACTTGGCCAAGAAGGTGCGCCTTTTTGCAGGGCTCAGGCCCGATCTATGCCATGAAAAAATATCTCAAGACAGTTAGACATCTCAAGACCATCCATATATGGAACAGTTACTTACATCATTAGATATCATTAGGGTCACTGATGGTTGGGTATTGACGTTGATTTCATCAGCGCAAAGGTTTTGCCGAGCTTAGAGCTTGCTTCCGGTTGGGGGGGAACATGTTGGCAACTCGTGGCTGGGCTCATCAGAGCCCAGCAAAGGGTTGCGTCTTGAGGCACCGGTGCGTATGCAGCCCTGCGATGCACTGAGTGGCCAGGGGGTCCTTGAAGGTTTGGATTTCTTAACGACAGTGGCCAAAGGAGAGCTGGGCCTCACTATTGCGGACGCTCAATTTAAGCTTCAGAATGGATCGATCGTGGGTCAATAGAATTGCTCACTTCTACACACTCAAACATGGCTCGCATGCCTGCATATGCGTTCAGCCATCACTCTTGAAAATCAGATCTTGGTACCAATGATTCATGATGGGAGGTCGCTGGTGACTCCTTAAACTCCTATGAAGGTCTTCAGCCAAGGAACAGTAAACCAGTTCACATTGAAATATACTCGCTGGTCCTTGGAGTCCATTCTTAGCCCTTGGCTCTTACTAAGGATGCATCAACGACCGAACCAAGTAAACCAGAGCTGGTTTGGCAAGATTGCATTCAAACTACTGCTGGTTGATAACACCACACACTATCTCACAAATAATAAGGTCCTTGTCCATTGGCACTTCTGGAGGTTCTCATATATACATATAAAGCTCCTCAAACAGATTGGTTTACCATTTCCAACAACTACCAACGTGGGTAATTTGCATTCCTATCAATGTTACCATGCTCCATCCACTCCCTCAGGCCACTTCTCCATCTGGCTACCTCAAGGAGTCTCCCAACTCAGAGCTCCCAGCTGCAAAGCCTGCGCCGCCAACGGCAAAGCAGTTCCATGCAGAAGAGCTGGATGATCAACAATTTCTTGAGGCCTTCGTGGAAGCTTGGCAGCCATTTTTGATCGAAGCCTTGGGTGAATCCATATGAATCGAAGCCTTGGAGTCATTTAGTTGGATGCCTTTATTACACACCCACTCTACGACGTCCATATGCCCAGGACCAGTCGCTCGGCCACTTCGGCGTACGCGAGATGATGCGCTTGGCCTTGATCCAAAGAACCTCGTCTCAACCAACGAAGCGGCGCATCGAGTCGCGTGGGTTTCTTCGGGGCGACTAAACCGACGTGGTTTGACCACAAGCGAGTTGGGAGACTCATTGCGGCAGGGCGCATCCAGAAATAGTTCCCTTTCAATTAAGCCAAATTTCTTGGAGAGGGCCATGGGGCGAGAGAGAGAGAGAGAGAGTAGCGGTGAATTCATGTGATTTTTGCGGTGCCATGAAGTACCCGTTCCGCAAGGCCCTGCCGTCATGAAGCAACCTCACCATTGTACTGTAAAACCATGTCAAGCAACTTGTTTGCATCCACAAGCAAGTACACTATGCAGTTGTTTCCTCGGAAGGGCACTTTTGGTATTTTTTCGGCGTGCGTTCCTCACAAGAAGCCTTTCAACAGTTTCACATGCTGCCCCAGGGGTAGTGACGCCGGCCTCGGCAGCCGAGGACTTGAAGGTTCCAGTGCCTTGGCAACCTTGGAGGCTGCACGATTGAAGGGCTATGTGGAGCACGCCACGCGAATGCATTTCTGGGCGGCACGCATGCACCTCGGTTTCAACCTGATTGGCAGGATGGTTGGGCTCCTAGTTAAAGGCTAGACAGAGGCTTCTTTCCCTTAGCTGCCATTATATAGCTCCCTCATGATTCAACACAGGGCAGACTTAGACAAAGCTGGCGGAGGCTCGCGGAGGCTCAGATTCCCTCAATTCGGCTCCATGTGTGCCTTCGAACCATATTCCATGCAGCTGATGGCGGCACTGCATCCACACTGACTATAGTCACTATAGAAGACTAAGCTGTCAAGTGGATTGTGATTTGTTTGGGGGGGCTAGCTCCGCTTCAGAAACAGAACTGGTCACAATAATCATATTAATGACCTACGGGTATTGAAACAAGTCTGTACCACCCAAGCATTGGAGAAGCATTTGCTCACATGTTGTAACAAGTGCCACTTTTTGCGGTGTCAAGGTTTCGGGACAGAAGCACTTTTCATAGCTACACTTGAGGTAGCTCAGCGGGAAACACAAGCACAGAGTTTCTTCATGGGAATGGTCCATTCCCTCCACACATGGGTTGCCAGTGTGCTTTTGTTATGTCTTGTTCACAGTTCTTTGGCTCCATGGGGTACTACTTATATATGCTGTATATACTTTAATACATTATATATATATATGTAAGATTGTAATTATAAACTTATTAATATATTACATATTTATATTAATGTAATATTGAACACTCTCACTGCAAGATTTTCAACATGTTTGCTTGCCGTTCACCGCACTTAGGTACTCAGTTCCCTTGCTTCAACCTGTGAGAGACACCCGAACTTTTCTAACAGAGCACTGCGAGCTACTGCCAGTCACTGTCGCAGAACAAGAAAGCCTGCTCAAGAAGGTCTACAGTCACTGGACTTCGACGACGACTTTTGTTGCGTCTTCAAGACGGGAGCTTTTCGGCAGCCCTGTAGAGTGACCAAGTAGATGTTGGGAAAGGAAAATGAAAAGGGCCCTGATCAGATGTTGGATGGCATTTGCTTTGTGTAGAAATCAGGAACCCATCATGAACCCATCATGTTTCTTATGAACGGTTGGCATGTTTTGAACACTGATGCAGTACGAGGAGCAAAATGCTCCTTTACAAAAACATACAAGGACCACTTACATCGGCAGGCATCGAGACGTGGGTCGGTCCTGGGATATCCTGCACTCATGCTTTTATGTTCAGCTGATTTGGGCATTATTGACGAAGTTGACATTGCGCAACTTTAGATGTGATTGGCACGATGAAGCCAAAGAGGTGCATTTGTTCAGTATTTTTTGCTTAAGCAACTGGAACTTGGAGACATTCTGAGACCCAAGCGTTTGATGGAGAACTCCATTTGGATCATTTTGTTCTGATTTCTTTCCAAACATCTGTGGGGACACCTGTTTTTTCCGCCCCCCCCACTTCCTCAAGCTGCGTTTTTACTCGCCCCCAAGCTGAAAAGAAGAACTGATGTGTGCGTGTGTATGGAAATAGGCCCCAATAAGGACTCCCCCCCAAAAAGATGGTCAACTCAAAAGATCCCAGTGGTTGAAGGGTCTCCGTTATTTTTCTGTTTCTTTTCCGCCCACCGTGGTCGACTGACATCTGTTCTTGGGTCATGGCACCGGGCACGGGGTGACACCAAGGTGAGAGGATCGATACGGAGCCCACCTGGGCAGCAACAGTGGTGCCTCCCGACTTGGCAGATGATGACCAAGCATTCCTGGCACGCATCGTGCCCTAGTTGATGTTGATGGTGCGTCAACCATGTTGTTTGTTTCACCAAAAACCACTGAACATGGACATCAGCAGAATCAAAAAGCGGGCATATGGCAACCCCAACCAGCGCTCCTTTTGGTCTTGAGTCCAAACACTGGGGGAGCAGGGCGACACCATGGTTCGACCCGCATGTGTTGTCCCCCTTTGTGCCGTCAGGGTCACCATATGATGTGATTTGACATGATTTGACCATATTTGACCCACGGTGTTCGAAGGAAGGCGCTGGCATTTACACTGGCGAATTGGAAGCTCGTTGGCACCTTAAACGGGTTCGTTGGCGTTTTTTTTCACGTCCTCATTGATCGCTTGAAAGGGTTGCCTGGAAACTTGCTTGTACAAAAAGATCGGGAGGATCCCGAGGATCTCGGTGCTTTTAGGCCCTCTTTGACAGCATGGAATCACTACTTCGACCCATCAGGGGTCCGCCATAAAACGATGAGACTTGAGAGACGGTCCGCTTCACTGATTTCCTTTGTGTCGCTGATGGCCTCTTGATATCGTTTTTTTTTTTTGCACAGGTTGTTGCTTGCTCCTTCTACCTGTCTACTGAGTGAGACCCTTCCGCGTTGGGGATTCCTACATTGACTTCTTCCTTATACTTATGCTGGTAGAATGTAGAGCCAAGCAGGTCAACAAAAAGATGTCGAACGCATTGCGTTTGCATATTTTTGCGCCTATTTAGGGCCAATTTAGGGCCTATGTGTAATCACTTGATGTTAGACACATGTTCATGTTGTGCTCCCTTGGCTCTCGGTAGATGCAAGTGGGGCTTGTGCACTCTACAGCATTCGTGGATCACTCTACTTGGCCCAGTAACATAGGCTTCGTATGGCCTGTGAGGAAGCCAGCAGTGGCCCAGAACCACGTGCAAACCACATGCTTCTACGACATTGGCCCGTGTATGGTGCATGTGTTCTTTTGTTTTGAGGGCGGGCTGGGTATCGGATCGGCGAGCTTCGCGCTTCAACCAAGCTTCGACAGCCTGCACCTCGATGCACCTCCCAAGCTATCCAGCCCAAAGCATCACAAATGCCCACCAGAGTCTCAAGCCTGAGGTGCCAAGAACATCCGAGAACCAAACAAAATTACAGTATATTACAGTAATAATCACAGTATATCATATGCCTCCTGCATTCATTGGGCGCCCGGAGCTTCAGCTCCGGATCCAAAGGCCATCGCTTCTTTTTGTGTTCCAGGACTCCTTTGCCTCGCTGCTTCGCTTGGGTTTCTTGCTCCTGAAGGCCTCGCCCCGCCGCGAAGCCATCCAGCGGATGGATTCCATGCTGCATCGCTTTGAGCCGGAACGGCCCTACCACGAGACACGCCAGTGCCTGGGCAGGTCCAGTGGCAACACGAGGTCCGGCGTTGCAGGGCAGACCAGGCTTTGCCCCCGGTTGGGAAACGGATAGGTATAAATAAATATATATATATATATTTAAATGGAGAAAGGCAGATTTGATCAGATCAGCATTTGCGATGGACTTATTCTTGGTTGAATATTGAGGGCAGGTCCATGTGCGTTTCTCTCCACGCTTGAGGTACGTGGCCCTGCAATTGGCACACTTGGCGCTGACAAAGCACCCTCGCCTCAAAGACGAACCTTTTTATAAGCTGGAAGAGTTGTGCCCAGATCTTTGCCAGGAAGACTGCATCAGCAAATACTATTCTGAGAAGGTGCTAGCTCAGGGCCAGAGTAGCCACTTGTTCGGAGTGGTGATTTGCATTCTGTCGGAAGGTCGGCGGGATTATACATTGCAGAGGATTGAGAGTAGATGCGGCACAGAAGGTGGTTTATACGGACCCCCATCTAAAAGACATCTTGGGGTCTGTGCCATCTACTCTGAAATCACTGCATGTCGATAGCAATTTCCACTCCACTTTGGGCTACTCATTTTGGCTCAAGTGCTTGTACACACAGCCATTCTGAGCGTAAATGGCACAACCTTACTCCTAACATGGTTGGACACAGTGGACCACAGTGGAAGGCCCATCAAGATTGTCCATGGACATTGGCAATCCGCCCTCAGTGGAACAAATTAAATTCTGGACAGCTACCTGTGCCTGGAACGACATCTGCGGATCCTCCAGCAACCCTGTGTTCAACAACTTGCCATCAGCCAGATAGAAATATGAAAGCTCTTACATGATCAAGAACAGTGTTGCCTGCCATGAACGTCTTCCGAGGGGGCAGACAGCTTGGTACCAACTTTTCCTTCTTTCACCCCATGAGGTAACTGCCTCTGTCCTGCGGCCTGTTGTCCAATAGCTGCTGTTGCCATGTCACTCATTTCGTCTCCATCGGGCAAACCCTCCGGAAGCCCCAGCAAAAAAGAAACTTTGTTTCACCAAGAATCCGCACATGCCCACGGGTACGGGGTTGGGGTTTCAGCGCCTGCTGAGCCCAGCTCAGGTTTCCAAGCACCGGATCGACAGCCCTTGCCCACAAAGCTGGAGAGTGCAGCTTCCCGTTGGCACCAGGACTTGGACGACCAGGCTCTTGGCGCCGCTGTCTTCGTTTGCCAAGCTCTTGTCCCCTAATCTCGGGCCAGCCACCAGAGGCCATGCTGTATACCAAATGCTCCCCAGCAAGAAAAGCTAATACACATATATATATATATATACACGAGTCTTCTCCAGGCCGGGTCTACCCTGGCCATTTTAGAGTGTTTAAGCCTTTTAGTTTATTCAAACCTACCTGAAAGGTTGTACTATGAGTTTTATGTACTATTGTGCTTGCCCATTTGCTAAGAACACCACCTAATGCATGACTCTTCGTTGAATAGTCCATTGCATTCCTTACTTTGGCCCACCCATCAGACGGATGGCTGATGTGGAATGTTATGGGGGTAATGCGCATTTTGGCATCAGGACTTCCTGAAAGCTGTGCAAAGCAAAACCTTGAGCTCCTGGAACCTCCCGAGCCTTGCACGAGTCTCGGCAAGCCTTGCATAGATTCTAACATTGTTTTGGTCGGCTCAAGGGATGGCAGGATTTGTGCAAGGGTCATGACATGTCATGACCATAGGCCATGTATGAGACCAAAAGACAATTACTGCAACTTGCTATATCATAATACAGTGTATCTCCGGCTGGTCCTAGGCAGATCTTTCATATGCTACCGAGGGACCACAGTTGTTTGGCTCCGCTGGTCGCAACTTTGGATCTGGCGACCACACTTGTGCACCACTGCCCTTGATACATCGTGACCAAACCACTCCATCACTTCACCGTGGAGGCGAACGGCCTCAGACCACCATCCAAGGCTTGGCCTATCTTCACCTCAACGCCTTGGGGCGCCGCCAAGCGGTGCGAAAACTCTTGGACGAGCTCCAGGAGCTGCGAAGGGCGCCCGAGGCGCCCGGTGGCGATTTGGGGTGCTTCACCGGTACGACGAGGGGAGTAGCCAGTAAACCAGTCGGTAGAAGGGTTAACACTATTTTGGAGAAAGGCCTTTAAGTAATAATAATTCTAATAATAAAGATCATCATCATCCTCATCATCATCCTCATCCTCATCTCATCTTCATCTTCATCGTCATCATCCACTGTTACTGGTAATGGGACATGCCCAGCGTATGACGCTCTGATGTTTTAGGTTTGGCATTGGTGTGACACAATGTCGTTCCAAGTCTAAGTGCTCTTGGCTTGAATGACAACTCCCATCAGAAGCTCCCCAATCCAAATTTCAGCGGGTTCTCAGGAGTCAGTTTAAGACCATTCATCTGAGGCCTATCTCTTTTTCAGCGATTTGCACAGAGGAAACCCACTTATTTTGGTTAGCGGTTTGTGTCAGTAGATCTTTGTAGCAGCAACCAATGATAATACATGACAATATTAATATATTACAATTGGACGTGGGCGGCTTTTCTGAGAGGTTCTACCATCATGGTCATGTTGTACTCCCAGGGTTTTGTTGGGCTATGACTCATGACTATCACCACATTGATTTGGTCACGGGATACGAGGTACGGCTACCCTCAACCCCCCAGGCACTCAACGGTCCAGGAAGTCCTATGGGATGGCACTCAGGATTCGAACAACATCGAACTACTTTGGATTAAGTCCCTTTAGGGTCGGACTGGTCCCTACTTCTGACAGAGGTGCAGACCGGGCTCTTTACGCACGAGACCTTGGCCTACTTCACGATTCACATGATTCACTACTTTAGCGCCACTGAGAAGCTATCTACCTCTGAGCCTTTCAGTGAATTCATCAAGAAGCTGGCACTCTATGGGAAGAAAGCTCTTAGTTTTTCTCGTGTTTCTTTACAATGCAGCATCTATGCTTTTGCTTTTGCAGGGTTGTTTGTAGGATGCCCCGGGTTTGCGACGCTTTCAGAATATCGTGGAAGACTACCGTGTTACTTGCTCAACATCAACCGAAGGAAATGTGACAAGATCCTGGACGCATCATTGTACAAAGCCTACTATTCGGAGGGCACGATCCATTGTGCTGCTGCCTATGCATTCAAGAACGTTTTCAGATCCATTGTGGTGCCGGTTGGTCGGGTGGACTTTTCTCCACTCGCCATCGGCCAACCAGCTTGGCATCGTGTGGTTGGGTCATGTTGGGCAGTTACTGTTTGGAGCTTGCAGGATTTGCCTCTATCACTCCAGGGGTGGAGGGCGCATGAGGGCGCTACTTGTTTTTCTTTAATATTGATATAGCAGTAGATATAGCTTCTGATCAAGGCATGCCCCAAAGACTCACCCAGAAGCTGGCGAAATGGCATCTCTCAGAGGACACTCCTTTTTGACAGACCAGTGCAGAGTGGATCCGAGTGGCGTGCTTGGATTCCATGAGCCATGAGCCAGTTGAAAGCAACGCTGTCCTGATGGCCTTATGGCCAACACACATCCACTGATCATCACTGATCTATACACACTGAATCTACACTATCTATCTACAGATGGGATAGCATTACAGGGTGTCACCCGATGGTGAGAGTGACGTCTACAACCAACTTGGGCGTCTAGGGACACACAAAACCGAAGATTCTCCATGATACACCTGTGACCCGGCTCACTGGCATGGCAGTCAAGACATGTTTGGGCGGGTGGAGACGGTAGAGAACGGTAAAGCACGAGCCGAGGTCCAGAGGCGGCAACGAGCTTCGTTTTGCCAGACCTTTGCCCGCTCCCAGACCTTCTGCCAAGTGATCGGTGAAAAGGGGTGGTGCGAATGCAGATAGGAGTCGGAATCATGGTAAATGGCGGGAAGGAACTGGGCTAATGGAAGTGGAAGATTCCTTCTGCCATTTGCCTGGCTTGTTTTGGATCTAGCACCTCGAGTCACAGAATGCAACTCGAAAGCACGGAGGATCCGAAAGATTTTGCAAGTGGACAAATACATATGCAGAGCCTATTATATAAATATAGTTTGTGGAACGTTGTCCCATTTTTCACACCGTCCATGTTTGTCAGAGGGACAGATTTGAGTCGCATTGGAGCTCACGATGTTGACCAGAGAGGGGTTTGGAGCGTGTAGAAGAGCGTGTAGGATCGTCCCGCGATGTCTGACGATGTCGCATGTATGGGTCTTGCCTATGCGAATGAGCATGCAGTGTGTGACACACAGTGGGATTGAGAGTAGATGGCACAAACCCAAAGGTCTCTTTGATATGGGGTCCATATGAACTACCTTTTGGGGATTGAGCTGTAACTAGACACTCAGAACCTTAGGGAATGAACAATTTCTGAGGGTCCTTTTCGCAAGTCCAACTACATCGTAGCTGGGACAGGTCACTTTTCTCCTGTGGGACCCTTTGTTCCACTACACTTGCATTTGTGAATCTTTTATATACTGGAAAAATATGTGTTCTTGTTGAACACTTGCATCATGACTCATGACCATGACCGGACATGATAGGGGGGGAAAACAGTCATCACGTGCAACTACAATGGTTGTTGTTCTAAGGTTTTTTAGAGTCTGGAGTCTGGAGGGTGTTTAAGACCAAAGACCTCAACCTGAAGTTTCGTGACCCAACAAAATAACGGACAGCCGACAGACGTTCCACTCCACCAAAAGAGCGAGCGATTCCTTTTTTGCACGGCATGTTTCGCCATCGAAACGTCGAAGGTCTTGGCAGGCGCGCCTTAGCACCAAATGTTTTGGTGTGTGGACCGAAAAGCTGATTGAAATGCAAACGGTCGATAACCCTTCTGAATCAAGGAAACATCTGAAAACCACTGGCTTGTGTGTGTGGGCGTTGTGCTCTGATGAAAAATGTGCTCGGCTTGAACACATGACACAAACGATCACAAACGTCTTTTGCTACTTGGACATCAACAAAGCAATATGACCCAGGGTCGCTGCTTGTCGCTGCTTCCGCAGTGGACGTGACCTGGGACTTGGACAATGAAAAAGGAGAAGTTAAGGTCCAAAATCCTGTCCGGTCTGAGAACGTTTTCTGACTTTTTTCAGTCTGGGAACTGAAACTGTTCGGAGTTTTTTTTTGCAGTCTGAGAATTGCAGAACTCTCTGTGTACATCTGTGTACACATTTGGTTGAGCCACTCTTGATTGGGACTCCAGCTCCCTGCTTGATTCTTCATTTACAAATGAGTTGAACATGCATCCTGGATACATGCTCATCATAGGCTCCCATTTGAAGATCAATCTAAATCAGATCGCAAAATGACGTGGGGATATGTGTAGATCGCTAGCTCGTGAAGCTTGTTGCTTGGGTTCACAATGCTCACGACGACCATAGTCAGGGTGATGAGAATACATAGTTAATCAAGTAATTCATCTAAGATGGAGAAACCAATCTTCTCAGGTTCCATGTTAATCTTCCAGGGCGTATCACTCCAGCCTGCATGCTCCATTGGTCCACCAGGGCTCCGATGGATTCATCCTCGACAAAGAGACTCTGAGAGACCAACGAGAGGCAGCAACTTGGGCATGCAGCTTCGACGTCCGGTTCAGCCCAGGACGTCCGGATCAGACCTGGATTGGTCTGAACAAATGATCACCGGGGAGGCTAAAACCACCTGCCTCCGTACCAATCCAACTCTCACCCGCGTCATCCCCCCTTGTCTTTCCGCAACAACCTAGGGTTTGGAGGTCGAAACGACCAGTTTGAGTCTTTGGAGGAGGTTTCTGGTAGAGAGTGGCAAGTCTCATATCCACTCACTTAGTGTTTAAAGCCAATCCCTTTCAGAATTGATGCACCCCCCCTCAGAACTGGCGCAAACCACAATCAACGTTTCTTGGGGCAACCCCCATGTAGACCTGAACGGGGCATGATAAATTGCGTAACTGTAAGTTTTGGAGAAGTTTCATTGCTTGGTCTTCAATCATTCCGCCGCCATTTCCCAAAGGAACAACAGCAGCGGCTGTCCTTCTTTATGAAGGGTGACACCGAGAAGAAGATCATCACAGATGAAGAGGAAGCGAGTTCGCATGGGTTCGCATGCGATGACTGCTTATATATTGGGGTACGGGGTTCCCGTGTACATTTTGACGACTGGTAATGCTTTATAGGTGGTTGAAAGCTCATGTCTCTTTGCTTCATTGATTGCAGGTTTGTCCTTGTATGAGGGTTTGTGCCAACATGTCACTCGGTTTTTTTACTGCCCAAGACGTGAGGCCAGGTTCCATAGACACCATGAATGGGTCAAAAGCCGCGGGAAGAGATGGTGCCGTCGGACTGACAATCCGCTAGTTACGAATGTCACGTTAGAGATAGCATCAAGCATAAGATAGACTATTGATTATATATATATATATATATATCGTGTGGGGGTTATTAATCAAGCGTCGACATTAAGACGCAATTTGTTTGCTATAGAGGGCTGGGGAGGGGATCCCGACGTGGAAGACAAACAGCTGTCCGGGAGAAATTGTTTTTAGGGAACATCTGGACACCATAGATTTGGGGGTGACAACCTTGATTTTTGGTAGATGATGTAGATGTTCCTTTGAACCCGTTTTTTGGAGTCTCCTATTTGTTGGGCTTGTGGTCCGAGCCCGCATGACCCAAGAGTCCTCGCCAGGAACGGCTCTCGCCACTGGGCTGTCGAGAGTTGGTGAGGAAGACATCCACGCCTGCTTGGCTTGCCAGACATGCCACCCATCCGTTGGTAGACGTCAGCCATTGATACCCACATACATCACAAGAAAGTTTACGAAAGGATACAAGAAAAGTATACGAAAGGATCCAAGACAGGTCGCCTTTCTTTTTGAAGCTATGGATCACCCCAAGAGCATAGATGTAATTAGGATGATTGGGCCGCTGGGCCCTGCGATCCGACCGTCCTTCGGCCGCCACCGAGGAAGGCGGTGGAGTCCATGCGCTCGGACGAGCACGAGACCTGGGCGCAGCGGAGGATGATCAGCTTCACGGAGACGGAGCTGGGCGTTGGAGAAGGCCTGATGGAGACGGAGCTGGGCGTTGGAGTGATGAAGCGGGAAAGGCAGGCCTGATGTTTCTTTGATCTACAGCGACCTTCGAGGCGAGATGGTTTCTCTTTCCATCTAGAACATCCAGTTTACAGTCCAAGGCTGATTCAACGAGCGAATCTCAAAAAAAAATGAAAGTGCTCTTAGAGTTGACGAACTCTTGCAACACTATGATGATCTTTGATGGTACCAATGTTCACGCAGAACGCAGCGGTGCAGGATTTTGCCAATCAAGTATGTATGATAATGTAATGACGAACAGGTGGATCCAGATGGTCTACCCAAAAGCATGTAGCAGTGGCAACTGGTTTCGTGAGAGGATCCAGTCCTCTTCCTCACCATACCTCAAGAACACCAGTACCTCACCCATACCTCACCGTCACCCATACCCGCCACCGCACAAAAAAGGAAAACAAAACAACAACAAACGCCGAAAAGAAGCACATGTTTCAATCCCAAACACTCCAAGTATCTCCAAGTCTATATATCCAAGTATGTCATATGTCATACACTTACCTATATACATTGGCGTGGTTTGAGGGGTCAATGTATAGGTAAATCTTCCAGTCCCATGGAGTACTTTGAGAATTCGGTCGATTTCCTTTCGTCCAGGGAATGACGAGGAAGACTTGACCTCCGAGATGGACGAGGCACAGCCCTGGCACAGCTGACTTGGTTTAGCCAAGTCAGGAGCCGCACGGCGGCGGCCGTGAGCAGCCGAAGTCTGCTGGATGGATTGAAGTGGCCGTTGGCGATCCAAAACGTGGAGTTGGTCGCTAAAGGCGAAGGTTGAAACAGTTGAAGCCTTTTGGCATCGTGTGCACTGGCCTTGTCTATTGCCGAGGCCAGAACTTTAAGGGCCCACATTGAAACATGTCACTTCCAGGTCCTGGGACCTTCCATCAAGCGCTTCTAGCTCCAAACAGCCACCCTATGGTGCGAGCCAAAACCCATCTAGACAGCAGACAGCAGGTCTATGGAGCCCAACTCCCCGGCCACCGCGGCAAGCCGGACATGGGAGAAGACACTGACACTGTTGCAGCCTCCTTAGGGTCATTGGTTTGCGCAGCCCAACGGCAACCACTGATCGAATCCATATCCACGCAGGCCATCCACGAGCCTTCGTTGTCGTTGCGGGCGCAGCGCCTGCTGGCACCGACGAGCTGCACAGGTTGGAAGGCGCAGGGAGGGAGGTGACAAAAGCCACCTCAGCCGGAACTATTTATAGGTTGGGCAGGTGACAGGCACCTTCCTTGGAAGAGACAAAGGTAGTGGGTGAAAGCATGTGAAAGCAGTAAAGGCGGTAACTAAAATCAAAGGCACACTGCAATGGGTGTTTCCGACAGATTTGTTTTTTAAAGGTGCTTGGGATTAGAAGTGCTGCCTGGACTAGGTAGAAAGGGTGTTCTGAGTGCTCCATTGTCTCCAGAGCTTGAGGATTGCAATCATTCCAAAGTGTATCACCAAACACTTGAGGCCCTGAGAGACGGCAATCCTGATAATTTAAAGAGTCCAGCAAAAGGCCCTCCAACAGACGCAACACAAGACCTGTTGGATGTCCTTTAGTCAGAACCGGATCCAGGAGGCCGTCATTCCGCGAAACCCACACATCGTCAAGAGCCTCAGCTGCAGCGAATGTTACTGGCAGAAATGCTGGTCCTGAGACATGCAGTTGATGCGCCCCCAAGCTAAAAGCAATGGCCTCCAACCTTAACTTGTGCAGCAAGCATTTTTGACCAGTTCCCGTGTGGTCACCCGCGGTTGAGGAGATACAACCCACGCCCGCACATCGCGAAAAAGCACCAGCATCGGCACTGCAAAGAGGACTGGATTGAAAGAAACTGAGCGAGCCACCCAGGGAAAGATTACATCGGCCATTTGCAGATAATGCAGAGTGAAGTTATATAGGTATTGGAGGTCAAACCTATATCTCCAGAATCGCCAAGCCTTTTGTTCAACGACTGTTTCTCCGAGTCAGCTCTTTGGAAGGCTAATGTGCTACTTTTATTACCATAAAAGGAACCATGTCGCCACTGCAGGATCATCCCCTGGTACGCTCCATGTTGACGCGAGCCTGCCAGGCTAGGTGATTTGGGGCCAGTTTGTTTGCTTGGTTTGTCGTGTCGTCCAAGTGGCCAACTAATCCCTTCCACCTATTGAGCAAAAACACGCCCCTGTGCGGTACCATGGCATGAACAACGGGGATTACTTTGATATATCTGGATCAATGAAGTACTTTCCACTGTTTTTTAAAAAAGAACTCGGGTGCGTTGTTTGGTTTGGGGGGGTCCCCGAAATGGGACCTGCAAAGATGGACACCTGGGGCGTCGAGCAAACCAAACAGAACTGTCGCTCTGGACAGTTTTGTATTGTATAGACTCCTTTATTAAATTCGTATCAAAATTTCATAATTTGAACACATAAAAAACATACCTCCAGATGGAAGGGTCTTTCCTTTTCTCTTTACAACAATTTCTTATAAAAAATGGTTATTCTTCATTAGACTAGCAACAAAAGCTTTCAAAAGGTGATGTTGCTGTGCCATGTGGTTTTGCAGGACCTCCGTGGAAAGTGCCATGGTGGACAGAGGTGGACAGTTAGGGTTGTTTTAGGAACTTAGCTAATCCCCCCCCAAAAAAGGCAAAAATATACACCAAACTCGACGATGTTGGTAGTTTAGTAATGGCTTTAGATTGAGATACGTGTTCAGTTTTGGCGCACTGGGGCCTTCATGTATAATTCCATCCGTGAGAAGGTGGGTTTCGTTTTCGACCAACTGCTTACTATCCTCCGGATGTTTCTCCGTCTCCAAGCATTTAAAAATGGACCCTTGCTCCTTCCTGATTTCTCACAACTAGCGCACGTAGTGAGTCCCCAAAGGGCCACTTGGGATGGGCTCCATCAGCTCACGAACCAGCATCTCAACTGGAGTTTCTTGAGAGGCAATGTTGGAGTTACTATAGGAACCGTCGGAACCGTATCTACAATCCCATATTTGTAACATGCCCTCTTGACTCAACATGACTTGTTGGATGAGCAGAGGGTAGAGTGGCTGAGTGGGGCATGGCTTGGGAATGGGACCTGCTGGTGGCTTCAGTTCTTTTTGCCCGGGCCAGCTGGGACGCGTTCCGAAAGACGACCTCGCAGAACAAAAGATGGGTTTGTCCTTCTGTTCGAAGGACCCACCACTCAGTTGCTCGCTGTAAGCAACCAAATAGTCAAATAAACAAGCACCACAATCAATTCACAACCACTTGCTTTCACTTGCCTACTCGACTGATTTATTGATCTCACAGCCCCAAACTTCGCCGCCTTTTTGTCCAAATTTGGTGTCCATGCCATCAGTTTGGTTTGGCCAACCAAATATAGAGTGCCACCACAAAGGGTCGACGGGGTTCAATCCATCCAGTGCCAGGCAGTCCTGGACAGCGAGCAGGAGCTGAATACGCTGGACGCGGCCACTGCAGATGGCGACCTCGGTCGGAACATGGCCCGCGCTGCCCAGTGCCCCGGTGGCGCGGGGTGGGGAGTGGCGGTGCTGGGTATGGTCTGATGAGAAGTCCACAGCCTACTGCATTCAGATACGGTACAATGATGCAAATCACCTTGGACATTTGTTTTTGCATATGGGTCATCATGACCCGCAGATGTTGCAGACCCCGGGACCAAGGAAAAGAACACCATCGACCAGACACTTCTAATTCAAGAAACTCCCATGTCCAAGGCCCGTCTCGGCTGGTGAATGATATCGGTTGTTCGACGAAGGTTGATCATGGCATCCTTGAACGATGGCCTTTTGCCCATGGCCACTGGGCAGCACTGGGATCGCCATGAGGCTGATGTGGAGGTTGAGGCGTCGACGAAAACTGTAGGTGATCATAATTACTGTATATAATTGAAGGATGTTGTTAAGGTCGTTAGCAATAACTATAAGTTATAAGCTATTATAGACATATACTATAAGATACTGTATATTATAGTTGTGTTTTGATTCCGCTTTGCCTTTGCCCTCTCCTACTTATAAAAGGGGGAAGCTCCTAGCGATGACCTAGGACGCATACTACTGACGCTCGGTCCGCACGGTCCCACGGTCCGCACGGCGGCTCAAGCGCGCCTCGTGTATCGGACCGGTCTCATGGAAGCCGGTCTGGTTTGGACTATCTGATGAGTTTATTTTGGTTTGGACTAGCACTTCATTCGCATTCCACCGAGTTGGTATCTCGGAGTAGCATGTGGATGAAAGATGATTCAAGAAAGAACAGCAGCTACATAGATTGGGTACCGCAGAGCTTAGAATTTAGAAGGCACTACAGGCCCGATGGCCCCCCCACCTATATAGCCTCGATTGCATCTCGTGTCGGCACAAGAGGCCCGTCCAGCCTTGCTCTTCTTCCGCCTGGCGGACTTCCTGCGGGGAGTCGATGGGACCTTGTCCGTGGCTCGACCAGAAGTGAGGAGAAAAACTTGTGAGGTGAGTGAAGTATGAAGATGAATGGGCCAGGATACGAAATAATTCAGCTTGGACATGCTTATTGGTGTTGAAGGGTTTGGAAGAGACTCCAACTTCCCGGTGGTCTAGGTGGTTGCTTGAACATGCTGGAACCACTGGTCGCCTAAGATAGATGTGGTAACTAGAGCATAGACTGACATTGGCAGGTCAGAGATGGTAAGGGACCCCTTCTTTAGAGAAAGGCTCATTCCGGTGACATAGCTATATATAAGACTATAATGTCATTTGATAGTCATGTTGCATGTTTGATCATGTTTAAAGTGTATTGGGTGAGTGTGATTTAGCAGTACTCAGTATGCATGTGTTTTAACTATTTATTGACACACACATAGATGTAATGTGTGTATATATCCATATATATGCACACCAGTTCCCTGAATCTCGGCTTTGAACCAAAGAATCACATGTCAATGGTTGACCGCTCGGATGAACGGTAAAATTAATCTCGTCCGTTCGGATAGTCGTCCGTTCTCCCGTTCGTCCACTCCGCTGCGCGTCTGCAGGCGCTCTTGTCGGTCTTTTTTTGGACGCGCCGCGCGGTATTTGACGCAGCGGGGTGTGGAGCGTCTACAGCGGAAGGTGAAAAGCCACCGGAAGTGCCTTGGAGCGAAGCGACCCGACCGGTTGGAGGGTTCGGCATCCAAACACCTCGCGAGCTACTCAGCTTGCGAGCCTTTGCTGCGCACCCCTAGAGCTCAACATGAACGCATTGAAGCGGAGCATGAAGCCAAGACACCCAGCTATGGGCAATGGTGAAACTTGCTTTAGACTATGATGGTTTGTATATGGTCTGTGTTTTACTTCTCGCGCCACAGCCAAAAACCTCCCTACATCTCCCTCCTTATGCCATGCAATACAAAATACATCCAAATACATTTCATTTATCGATCTAGTTACTTTTTTAATTGCTAAGGATCGAAGAAGACGATGTTGATGCGGATTCTCCTCAAAATGCATGCTTACTGTCATCATTCGTCAGTTTGGTCTCCAACCAGCCCGTCCGAACGTCCATTTGGTGGCCGAGAGTGGGGAAAAAGTAACCTTCTTTCGCGAAGAGCCCATACCTGTATCTTCCTCAGAGTGTTTTTTTTTCTTAATGGAGTGAAAAACATGTTTGGAGTCACCGCCTTATGTTGCTTGCGGATGTTTATGTGGCTCAGAGACCTTAAAAGAAGGGTATGTTGAACTACTACCAACCCCCCCCCTACCAAAAGAAAAAAACACAAGGTTGCAGGGATAACATGTTGGATATTGGCTGAAAGAGTTGTTGTTTTTACAATTTTTACTATGAACTTGATGAACGACGTTACGCTGAATTTTGTCATTGTTCTGCACGAATGTTTTGTTATTTAATTGTATGGAGGTTGATGTTGACCGTCATGGTGAATGTCCCCAGGAGCCGGAAACGCGCTTTCCACCTCCCCTGGATTGCATCCGACGTCTACTGTGCGTTCTGCGCGGGGGAGCAGGAGGCGCGCGCCTGGTTTTTGCAGGTGGAACGGCCCACTGCGGAAATGGGGCTTTGATGGGCAGTCGGGAGTTTGACATGTGAATGGATTCGGATGAGTTTCACCAAGTCAATGATACAATTTCTTCACGGCAGGGGCCTGAGAGATCCACTCACCATGCTATTCCACCCGCTTCGAAAGCTCAGGTGGAAGCGGTGGCCGAATCCTCAGAAGGGCAGCGCAGCTGGGTGCACACAGCGTGTCCATGGAGATTTGCTCTGAAATGCTCCAGGAATGTTACATTGGACCTCAAAAGTGGCCCAAATGGGGATTGGTTGGTCCTGCCCCTTTGGAGAGTTGGACGACCTAGGAGGGCACAGAATTGGCTTCAAATGATCTTTCAATTTATGGTGTGGAGGGTAGATTTTGCGTACATTTGCAAGAAGCCACGAGGGGCAACAATGACTTTCCTGGTTGAAAGATGTTGAGAGCAATTCTTGGGAGTGGTTCACGGTTGGTCTGGAAGGGTTAGCAAGACACTTTGAGCAAACACGCGCGCACATCCTGTTGATGCATGCGAGAAATGCATGAGGTATTGACTCACGTTCACGTCCCTGGTCCTAATAATTATATATATATATACCCAGACACTCCATGTATGCCATATATATATATATGCCTACATTAGGGTGGTTTTGGGGGTCAATGTAGGCATACATGGCATACATGTTTGGGATCTATATATATATACATATAGCCTTACTGTTTCGCTGTTTCGACTCATCACATCGGAAGAAGACAAACGGAGAAGACTGTGTCCCGTGTCTTGGTCGTTTTCCAATGCGGGAAAGTGCATGGCTGGCGCTGGACGCCCCGCAGAGAGGTCATTCAGTCATTTTTCAGGCCCACCATGACTGAACAACCAGACGCCGCCAACGCTCCAAGGACCCCAATGTGGAACCTCAAACACTTTGGTTTTGACCCCAGGCCTCTTTGTATGCAGGTCATGCCCCGGCCTATAGAAGAGCCCTTTCAAGGAGATAGCCAAGAGTCGTTTTGATATGATAGAAAGTGATAGAATACTTGCCCTGTAATGTCCTTCTTCCAATAATTTATCATTTGAATCAAGGACGCCAGTCAGTCCTCCAAAAGCAATTTCAAAACACCAAGCGCCAGAAGCGTCATCTCAGGCACTTTCTTGGATTCTTTGCTTCCAGCTCTTCGTGCCGCTGGAAAGAACATCCACCCAAAGACGGAGGATCAAGAAGGTTGGAGTCGGAGTCGATGGCAAAAGCGGAGTCGATGGATGTTTATTAGAATGCCCCCTGGTTCGATGGGTTTAGTATTGTTCGGTCGTTTTTTTTCTTCCTACTTTTCCGAGAGGTTCTTTTTGCTCCATTGTCTTTGAATTCTTACACACATAGACACTAGTAGGCCAATTGGGCCCCCCAGATGAAATACCCCGGCATCTCTGGTAGTTTAGAACCTTTGAGTTAGAGAAGACCAGCCAGCAGGAGATACTATGAAGGGTACCCGTAAACATTTGCGGACACGCACACATGCACATCCCTTTGTGCATTTGTAGATTCGATGTGTATAGCAATCGTTATTGGTATCTAAACCAGGAGTGCTATAGTTGTATTTGGCCACTATTTGCATCATCCTGGAGTCTGGAGTAGTGTGGGAGGCAAGCGTGTGTGTGTGTCCGTGTGCTTACATGTCCCCCCAGATAGCGAAGCAAGAGGGTTCTCAGTTCTCCCTGAGGGGGGGCTGGTATCACCAGCTTGTGGGACAAGGGTGCTAACACTGGGCATGCTGAAACTTGTGCAAGCCGCAAGCCAGACTCTTCCTGTATATATATATATTTTTTTTTTTTATCGTCTCTCCTTGTCTCCAGGGGAGCTGTGTCTTCCACTGTATGACGATGAAGATGATCTGGAATTGAGCCATTTACTTGCTTGGGGCAACTGGGCGTCATGGGCATCAGGCGGCGCATGGGTTGCGCAGTCAGTTGGGTAACCTTTTTTCTTGTCAGTTGGGTTTCGCCTTCGGACGTGCCCTCCAGGTTAATTACTCCGACGCATTGCTAGTTGGGTGATCTATAGGTGGTTTCGTGACTGTGAGCGAGCTTCAACGTCCGAGTGGCATCAAGCAACACAAAGATACATGTATTTGAGGCACTTGCCCAAACATGGCCATTAACAAGGACGTGGAATGGCATGTGTTTCCATGACTAGGCACCGGAAGACGGTCTCAAGAGCCCTTTCCCGGTTGGCTTTCCCGAGGTCGACAAAGCAGCATCGGCAGCGAGCAGGACATACTGGGGGTAGCCTTTGCAGCAGACATTGGCTCTATGTATACTAGCTAGACATATAGATAGATACTTTACGTATTATATCCAACGAAGCGGCAGTAGTTGCATGCAGCCCTGACATGGGCGGTGAGAGCACTCCACCAGAGTTAACGGCTTGCAGTGGCGCAACTCTACTGACCAAGAAGACTCTCTTTGCCTACCGTGGGCTCTATATAGTAGCTTACTCGGTGTTGGTGACTGCCACTTTTCGCTGCTTGCAGCGGGATCACCAGAACACAGCAGGGCTGGCCCGGGTTGCGCCATTTTCGCCAGGAGGACGACGAGATAGACATGGGAGACCAGGAGGAGCAACTCTTTGATCGAACGTTTTTCACGGGCGAGCGTTGAGCGGTACTGAGTATGATGAGCGGTCCTACGGATCCGACATCCGCAAAGGGAGGGTCCAGACCCTCCAAAGCGAACCTGTTCATATCCCCAAATAAGATGTTGTTGCAAGGTATGTGGCCTGAACATGTTAGAAATAAGCTCCAAACTGAGGAGAAGCACCATTCATTCATGAAAGTATCCTTGTATCGCTGGGATTCACGATATGATCTTGAGAAGGTCTTGTCGATGCTGGGTGAGAATGCCGCCAACACTCTTCCCCTACACACAAAAAAAATAAGGCGGGTGGCTTTTCAAGGGTTATTATGGGGGAAGGGGATGATTTCCTGACTTTATCCACCATCCACCACCATGTTTGATTACTTGCTTGGTGTGTTCTTCTTGTTGCACTTGAGCATTTTGAGAAGGAATTTGAGAGGCCTCGGAATTGTCCGGTTTCAGTGGCAACGTGGCGGCCATTCGAACCAGGACGTCCACGTGCCCTGGGATGCCATTGCCACTGCAGCACAAGAAGGCGCACGAGCGACAGCCAGCATGCATCTTGGCACTGCACCCAGCGCTGTTTTTGTTTGAGCACCTGGGGCCCTGCTGTTCTTTTTTGGTGAGCTGATCGGATGCAGCATAAATGAATCATTTGGGTTTGTCCTAATACCTGTAACAGACAGTCAGTAAACAATTATCACTATTTTTGAGCAAGGCCGGCCTTTACTAACCATCATCATCCACCGTTACAGGTAATAGGATAGACCCAATGAATCATAATGAATCGGTTCCACCCCAATGGTGCAGTGGAAAAAGAACAAAAAAGTATCCAATGTCTTCAGCCGAATTTATATTGTCCAAGACAGAGTGAGAGAGAGAGAAAGAGGGAGAGAGAGAGGTGCTTTAAAAAACACACCAGGGGCGTATCAAGCAGGGGCGTACCAAGGCTACCAAGGCGTACAGTCGGCGGACCTCCACCGGTCGCCACCGCCGACGACGACCGCCGACGGGACTCCGGTCGCCCGCCCTCCGATCCGAGGAAGTCCACGCCTTGCTATGGCGGATTTCTGGGCGACTGCTGGGCTCCCCCAGACGTGCGGAGAGACGACCGAGTAGACCTGGGGGAATGAGAAGAGACCACGAAGGCGTTTTTCGGAAAGAAAGCACATCGTAGCGTATCATCTCGTCATGTTGTGTACATATGGGTTCATGTCGCGGTTTCGTGGTGAGGAGATCTTTTCTGCAGTGCTGGCACGGTTCTGGAAACACGGTGGTGGGCACACTGTATCCGCTGCTAGCCGCTTTTTTCACGAAGAGTTCGGAGAAATGGATAGAAATGGCACTATTACTGCAAGATCTGCATGTGTGTGTACGTCTGATAGACATCAAATCCTTTGGGTGGAAGATGGCATATGGTGGCAGTTGCAATCCCAAGGGTGCAGATGAGGTATGGACAAGCAATACAAGCAAGATAAGCATAGATAAGCATGTGAATGTTGATAGGTAGGTGAACCATGGTGAAACTAATCTAATTGCACGAATGTTTAGGATGCGGAACTTCTGGACTTCTGCTACACTGCACGGTGCATCACGGTACCACTTTTGGGAGGTTGTTTTGTCCTAGGGTGCCCCCCTTGTTGGTCCATCAAAGTATATTTACACTTCACTTGGATGGACAATCATGGACAATCCTTAAAATTATCACTTGAATTGGAAGGATGGGGGAATCCGTACTTTCTTATACTTTCTTTATTTGTATCCAGGATAAGATTGCGCTAGTGAGTCCTGCAATACCTCACCCGCACGATCTTTAAGCTGTTGTGACATATTTTAACCTAAATAATGTGTGGGAAATGCCTCAGCAATAGAGGCACTCTCTCTTGCGGTGCCCTCTCGTGCGGAGTGCCGACTAAGGTGATTTTTGCGATGGCGGTGCCATGGTTGTCGCCATTGTGCTCACTGCGGCTTGGAGCGAAACCGGACGCAGTACCAGCGGATAGACTGACAAACACTAACAATACTCAAGAGAAACCATAACCTACTGGATACTGCTAGACCCTAAGGTTTGGAGTAGTTGAAGGGTAGTCGACGCCAGAGTATTTTGCCACCGACTGTTTGCAAACGCGCAACAACCATTCACCATGCGATTCGAAGGTTGATCTAGGGTGAAGTGATCTCATCAGCCTGGGTCCAAAAGCACTCTGGCTAGTCGTTATGTTTGCACATTACTGTATTCCCAGGTCTGACCAACTTACGGTGTGTTGCAGGCTATTTGTAGAGCAGAGATCATTTGGACATTTGGCATGAATGCTTTGTTTACTGTCTTATAATCCTTGGTTCAAGGCTGGGCTGGTGTGCGGTAATATGTGTGTGTGTGTGTGTCCACTCCTGTTTCCAAGGACACTACCCTAACTCTTTCTAACCTGCCCTATGACTTTTGTGACCAATGTGCAGCAGCAGGGGGCCACTCCACCCACCACCAGGGAGTGGCCAACGAAGAGCCTGGTGGTGTGGTGCTGAAAACGTACCTGCCATTTTAGAATTGTTTCAATCGTTTCACTTGCATTCTTGTTCAACAATACTGTTACTCGGACCCAGCATTTTTTTCAGTCAAGGTCTAATCTGCAGTAATCTTAAAGAGCTAATGCTCACCGCGAAGCAGCCTGAAATCGCGCTCCACGGAGCAACCTACTCAAGTGTGTCTTCGCAGCTTCTTCCCACTGTGGTAAGCTGTGTGATCCCTGCGGGGCGCCGTTACTGCAAGAACCTTTCCACTCCTCATCGCAGGGGTAAGCTTCCTGAAGTTTTTCTGAATTTACTCTACTGAATTCCCCTGCTCGAAATTCCGCTTGAATTGTCTCACCCTGCACACGTGAAGTTTACTGCAGAGTTCACTGAAGTTCCTTCTGAAATGTACTGCAGAGTCAAACTGTAACTGTTTCACCCGGGAATCCTTTCCTTCCAATTTTAAGTTCAATTTTAATTTCAAGATTTTAATTGAAGACAGTTGCACACTCCTCCTCTTTGCAGCGACCTGTTATACAGCCTACAGTTTCACTCATTCAAGTTCAAGG